GTACAGAGCTTTATAATGTATGGCTCAATATTGGCCATCTGTATAAAAGGAACAATCGATGTAGGTGGCTTAGATGTGGTTTGGAAGCGCAATAGCGAAAGTGGTCGACTTAATACACCCGAGTAAGTGGTAAATTACTGAAAGGTTTTATATATGTAAATTAAATACTGCTCTATCATGAATCAGCTGGACCTGGGATCCGACAGTGCGTTTGTCAATGTTAGCTGTATTTGTTGGTGGCTCCCTTCATAAGATCCAATCCTCTGCCGTAAACCAGATCTGTATTCAACGTTATCTATCATTGCCTTCTTTCAAAAAGGCTAAGCAGACTGTAATTTTGTTCAATTTCTTGTTAATTTTTTTAATGTTGTGTTGCTGTTACATGGGCCTACTAGCCTATGCCAGCTACTACGATTGTGATCCACTTAGCACAAAGGTTAGTTCATACATACGCATACTTTTTTTGTCTAAAGTTGTGTATTTAACAGTGTCGTTGAATTGCAGCTTGCATCAGCTAGTGATCAACTCCCTACATTACTGGTAATGAAGACTGTGGGCGATATACCAGGATTACCGGGACTTTTTGTTTCGGGGGTCTTCAGTGCGGCTTTGAGCTCCTTATCTACAGGTTTGAACTCGTTAGCCTGCGTTATTTCTCAAGATGTCGTTGCCTCGTCTCTGAAGACCCCACTCAATGAACGTCAGACAGCAGTACTGCTGCGATTGATAGTGTTTGTGTTTGGGGTTGCTTGCATAGGATTAGTATACGTCGTTGAAAAGTTAGGAATGGTATTGCAGCTGGCCACAATGACGGGTGCAGTCACAATGGGGCCACTTTTAGCTGTGTACACAATGGGTGTTGTACTGCCATGGATCAATGGAAAGAGCGCGTTGACAGGATGCCTGACAGGGTTTTTGGTTCTCAGTTGGATATGTACTAATGCGCAGATCGCCCAAGTGAAAGGAGAAATTGCTTATCCGAAAATGCCTGTATCCATAGACGGTTGTGACTATGAATTCGATAATGAAACGGCTTGGCACATCATCCATGATTACAAGTGAGTCGTATTTGTTTTTCAAACAAGTATTTAAATTCTTATAAATTTTAATTAAAATTTTTAGACCAACAACTTCGGACCAACGCAATTTATATCACCTTTCCTTCCTGTGGTATTCTGCCTTTGGTGCAATCATCTCCATTGCCGTCGCTGCTATTGCTACGCGAATATTTGGAACTACAGATTTAAGGGAACTGGATCCAGCTTTAGTGTCCCCTTTTATGCGTCGCTTCTTACCAGTACGACAGAATAAGGAGTACTTTAGTGTTAGCCTTGAGGATTTTTTTAACGATAAAAGTACGGTGGAGCGCGAACAAGAAAACTCAGATAAAAAAAAAAACGCCAGAAAAAAAGGTCATTAGAAAAAAATAATTTTGTAAAAACACTGTAATTAGTTGTGAATAAAAGAAAGCGCCGAATTTTTGTGTGAAGTTATTTCCTTTCATTTAGTACACATTCGATATATGAACCGAATTGGGCCAATAATATGGGTTTCCAAGTATCCCGACTCCTGCGCCACCTATCGGCAAAAGCGTTTGTGAAGTTATTGCTTTTCCTATAATTAATATGCATATCGTCGTTTAAAGTGCAAAACCGCGTAGCAACAAAATGCAAAACCGCGTATGTGAAGTTATAGAAACTATTTTCTAGAGCGTAAAACCACTCATATTTCTAAATGGTTTTCTTTTTTATAAAGCAATCGCATATCTGCCTAGTATATTTCAGGACGAATGGATAAGGATTGAGGCAAAAGCTTGTGTGAGCAGATCCAATTTTTGGCAGCCAATGTCAGTTACGCGGTTTTGCACAATGACGATACGCGGTTTTGTACTTTAAACGACGATATGTATATTAAAATTGTAAACTAAGTCGGACCATAGATGCAGTTTATCGACATATTTCAACCTCCGCGCCACCTACCTACAATTTTTTTGTGAAGCTTTTTTTTCATATAACTAATACACATGCCAAATATGAACCATAAATTTGGGTTTCTCAATCACATCGACATTTCAACCGCCTATCAGATTAATTCATCTCTCATTTTGCATTGCCATTGAATTGTTTTATAATCTTAAAAATATACCCCTTTTCAACCGACTTCAAAAAATGGAGGAGGTTATCAGTTTGACGGAATATTTTTTTCTGTTTTTTTTTATGTATGTTACCGCATACCTTTGGATCACGTCATATTTTTATATGAAAAGTGAAGTCTGTTTTGTTTTTTGTTTAGAAATTACTTTTTTAATTTCAACTCAAAAACCATTTAAAGAGTGCTCAAAGCGCTTATAGTTTTCCATGCATTTCATATGAAAAAAACCAACTTTTCGTAGAAATGGCATAGAATACTTGGAAATCAATATTTTTTTGATCGAAATGCAATGGCTCTCTTCAGCAGATAATAGCAATACTCAATTGTTTATTTAACCCTTTTTTAATACTAAAGATTTTTTATTTATGACCCCATTAAATTTTCTGGCATTTTCTGGTGGCTTTGACGGACCTATAAAACATAGTTACCATAAAAAAATGAAATTTGAACGCTTTGAGCACTCTCTAAACGTTTTTGATTTCAAAATAACAATTGGTGCACATTGAACAGGTAGTATCAGTGTAGCAGCTGATTTGATTTTTTTTCGAAATATTGCGTCTCGAAAATGTCAAATATATTTAATTTATTTTCACAAAAATTCCAAATTGTTAAAATCTACTTGCATGTGAAACGTTCTTCCATACAAAGCAAGCGATTGAATAGCAGCTTTTGGAACGTTCGCCCAGCTCAGCAGCACGACCGCTAATTACTAGGCCTTGCAAAGGATGGATCAATGCTTCGAGAAGCAAACAAATTTACTGCGAAAGAAAGTTGTAACAATTTTAATTTTTTCCAATTTCATTTCTTATATTTTTGACATCACATGGAACGCTTTGATTTATAAGAAAAAAGTCAGAACAGTTTTTGACACTTCCGATACCAGAAACAACAAAAAAATTGACGAAAATTTTGTTTTTGCTGTAATGCTACTACCTATTTGATATGCCTTGGGCCGTTCTATTATTTTTTGAGCAAAGTGAACAAAAACATACACACACAATAACACGTTTGCCGAGCGTTTGAAGAAAATAATACGAAAACTGATTACATAGAATTCGCATGCAAGCGTTTATCGTCTATCGTGTGGAAATTCATATTAGGGGG